TATACAAAATTACAAAATTCTGTCATTGTTGCATTCATATTTTTTCATAAATGAAATCAAAATTTTATCATTTGACATAGGAATTCAAGGTATAATAACTTTTTTAATAGGCTAGCTAAATTTCTAAAATTTTGTACGATGTTTTATTAATGTAATATGTAGTAACTGTTAAAATTTAGATGCTTTACATTGTTTCTGTGTAAGGGTTCATACGACCTTAAAAACGAATGTGTCTAGAATTACGTAATAAAAAATTGCAAAAAGTAAGAGGTTCCAGCTGCAAGTTTCCTTCCGCGGCCATAAGCCTGTGCAAATTGTCGCTGAAAATTTCAGTTTACACGCCACCAACACCCGCGAGGAGGAAGATTGGGTCATTTAATGGGTCGACTCGCGCGTCGTTTATCCACGCCGTTGTCAATTTAACGATGAAACTTTCCACCCGCGCGACAAATAATTATTCAAACTTTCTTCCTCGGACCGCGTATGCCACTTCGTTAAGACAGCCGCAACTTCCGACCGCTAATCCTCTTTCCATTCGATTTTCGATCATCCCTGATATTTACATTGCCAAAAGTTCGACGAGGGAAAGAAGTACAGTTTCCCTTGAGGGTAAATAGATCCCTTGAAACAATCATTGTGTTATCTTGTTGATCTTCGATCGCATCGACTATAGGACAATTTCATAATGTTGCCAGATGATAAGGGAACTCGTAACAAGGTTTATTCCTCTTTGTATCTATCATTCGATATTTTCTTAGAATTAGAAATAATATCCTTTTTAATAAATAATACAGTAAGTAGAAATGATATCCTTTTTAATAAACCAGTCGCGGAATTCTTGACAGAGATAAGGATTGAAGGACGGTGATAATATCGGTGCTCGATTTTCCCGTGAAGAAGAGAGAAGACGGCCGTGGCAGCTGGTCGCGGCCGAGGTGGGGGACACACGCGAGAGAGTTTTACCTCTACTACCGAAATGAAACTACTCGCTGGAGAAAGTGAGAGCCGGCGAACGTAGCGGAGGGTGGGCAGTCGCGGCAGCCAGCCGACCGGGGCTTCTCGAGACGAGAGGATAGACATGGTGCAGGCCTACCGTCGTGTGGATCTTTCCTCGTCGTAGAGAAAGATCCTAAGGCCGAGTGCGATCCGAGTGTCCACTGAGGCGGCCGGGAAAACGGAGGGAAATCGGGTGAATCGACGATACTCACGAGGAACCGTCGATTGGATCTCTGCAACTGCTGCGTTGGATAAAACTGAAATTAAGATCGGAAGTAAATCTTGTTGCCGTTGGAACGAAGCGTTTCGATCTCGGAGGTTCAATGGGAAGATGAGGAGTGGCACGATGGGGCGATGTAATTGACTTGATGAGGGAAGGAATATTTAGTGAGGATCGTGGTAAGGGACGTTCTGAAACCTACTATTCGTTGTGTTATGGTGGTGAGGACTGTTCAGGACAGACGCGGTAGAAAAAGAGGAAGAAGAAGAGGCCGCGAGGGTGGTAGGATTTCTCTCTGAAGATAAGAAGAATTCAAAGTGACAATTTCCGGACAACAATTCGATTCTGCATATCAGTAAGTAAAACCGAATTCCAATGTATCTTTGTATTAAGTATAAGAATTAACGTTTCACGACAGAAACAGTTGAAGTTTCTGTACAAAGTACAAAGGAGTGTATGACAGCGAGGTAATTGACGAGTATTAGAAAAAATCGAGTGAAAGTGAGGAGGTATCGGTTTTTGAAAGAAAGCCTATCTCGCAATGAGCATCCAGCAAAACGTTAAAAGATGGATAGACAAACGAAACTAGTGATTTGAACGTTCGGCCGTCGAGCCACTCAGCTATTACCGGGGAAAAAAAAATCGTCGGCCGCAACCTTCGCCGCGGTACGAGTTTCCACAGATGGCAAACTGACGGGCCGAGACATTGTATTAACACAATTCGTGGCTTGCCACTCGGTCATCAATTTAATAACCAGTAGACCACTTGAATTAACGTTTCGAATTAATTACAGTTTTTTTGTTCATTATTCTAATTCAATGCCATTCTAATTTAATAGAATTCTAATGTTCATTAAGGATGAACGTTGAGAATGGTATTTCTGTAGAGAATCGTTGAAAGAAAGTGCTTGGAGGAATTTATCAATGAGACGGTTTTACGAAAAAAAATCTAAAGAGCTCCATTAAAGTAATGGTACTCGAAGAGACATTCAAGATTCCAAGAAAACGCTTGTAGATAGATGACTGGGGGATCCATAAAGGAGAAGTGAGATTTATTGTAATTGTAACACTGAATTTAGAAAATGTTGTACCACAGGCAAGAAGTCATTAATCTGTTGAAGAAGCACTTTCGCTACTGACAGAGCTAACATTTGATGATACGAAATAATCAAGATCGCGTTTATAAATTGAGAACAACGATCGAAAAAGTATAAAATGAGATAAAAAGAAGTAATGTTACTTCGTTAGGAAGTCACTTTCATCTAATGGTTAGACTGCTTTGATGTTTACGCTAAATATTTATGGTACAGCTTCAGAGAATTTATTTTAAATAACAGTAATTTTAATCATTTATGTTTCGCGATATGTTTTCTGCTTATGATGTTTTCTATATTTTTACATATTACATGCAGTATTTATATTATTTGTGTATTCAGATTTCTTATAAATG